CAAGTAGCTGGGACTACAGGCGCCTGCCATAATGCCTGGCTGTTTTTTTTGTTTGTTTGTTTTTTTGTAGTTGTCATTGTTGTTTGGCAGGCCCTGGGCCAGGTTGGAACCCGCCAGCCTTGCTGTATGTAGCTGGCGCCCTAGCCACTGAGCTACAGGTGCCCAGCCAGGATTGGTTTGGTTTGATCTGTTACCCTTAGATGTAGGGATGTTAGAGTCACTCCTCCTATAGAAAAATTTTTAAAAAATTTCCTGCATGCCCTGAACGCAAAGGTTAAAATGTCAGTGGTTTCAGAATTGAAATAAATAGGGCTGCATAATACCTAAATAGTTTTTGTAAGTGCTACATGACCATGCATACAGTCTGCTTTGTTAAAAAAGAATGTATATACAGAGATATGTGTATATATAAAACCATGTGTAAACATTTCTTTTTAAACAGGTCGACAATGATGATCCTTTTAATTCAGCCACAGTGAGCTCTGGCAGCAGTGTGGTTATTACAAAAAATGTGTTTGAGGACACGTCAGTGAAAAGTGAAGATGTACCCCCCGCACTGCCACCAAAGACCGGAACTCCAACAAGACCCTGCCCACCACCACCTGGTATGAGAGTTAGTACCTTTCCTCCATCAACTAGATGTCTTTCTTTTTCTTTCTGAAAAGTATTATGCGGGTCTTAAACAAGTCAAACACACGGTAAAAGCTTGGTGCAGTCACTTGCAGAGTTACAGAGGTGTGTCTAGCATGAACTGCCTTTCTGAGAAGAGCTGTTTTTTCCTTAATCATGTCAGAAAGTTAGCAAATAGGGAAAGGAAGGTGTCAATGAACTCTCTTGCTTTTTGGAAACTTATCATTTGAACAGCAGATTCCTGCGCTTTGGTGTTTTAATTATAATTTCTATAGGAGAGGATTAATTCAAAGTCCCTTTAATGTAAGAATTCATGACTTTGATATCCAAAAATTCAGCAATATAATGGTTTCAAACAAAGTATTGATTTACTTGAAGAAAAATAGTATTTTAGCTCACTTAAAAGACTCCTTTATTTTATATACTGATTTTCTTTTTTGGTCTCAAAAGAAATTCTTAATAGCTTTATTTTTGTTTGTTTTGTGTGTGTGTGTGTGTGTGTGTGT